ACGGTGAGGTACGTGATTGTTTAGTAATAAAAACAACAATTGACGATTCGAAAATAATAGTAGGGTTGGAAGTAAAAACTTTAGGGATTTTTTTTTTATATTTTAAACTTTTTTGAGATTGTTTTTTGAAAATTTATGAATTTAATTTTTTAAAAAATAAAAATAAAATTTATGTCACATATCGAACATTGATTGATTGACTGATATTTTAACGGTCATGACATATTAGAAACTTAGGGTGCGTTTGGTTCACGGAATGTAAGATTATCAGTGAGAATAAAAGATTATCGAAGAATAGGATTACTGAGAATGTTGTATTTTGTGTTTGGTTGGTTGAGCATGAATGTAAGATTACAGTGTTTGGTTAAAGAAATAAATATTATTGGAATGTATATTTTACCAAATTATCCTTATTATATATTTGTTTTTTAACAAGTTGAATTCTACTATAATATTACTATAATTAATTTATATATTTTTAAAAAAATAAATAAATTCATAATAAATTTTATATAATTATAGATTTTTTTTTGTAAATCTAAAATAGTTTAAGGATAAATTTGTAATTTAACCTTCGTATAGTTTTTATTATTTAACGACAGAAGAATGATATTTTTTAAGAATTTTTTTTAAGGACGTTTTAGTCTAAAACGCCAGTAATCTAACAATAGCTAAAGGAAGGGGTAATTACATTTTCGGTAATATACCCCAAAAAATCCACTGTTGGTAATAAAAGATTACTAGGGCTGAAAATGTTGGCCAACCAAACGGGAGAATGAGGAATCCATTGCCCCGGTAATAAGATATACCTTGAACCAAACATCCCTTAAGATAATAATATCAAGAATGTTAGGCTCCTAAATGTGAAAAGATATATAGTTTTAAAAATGGTTTTTATATTAAGCCAAAATCAAATAATATTTATATATGTATTTGGAATATCCAAAAAAGAAAACAGGAGTATTTTTGTAAAATGCGGCAAACTATAGATTAATGATGGGTTCAATTAAAGGATTAGTTTGTTTAAGCAACAGCAAAGATTAGTCGAACAAGAAACCGTCGAAGATACACATATTTGAAACCCTTCCACAAGACAAATGATGGAGCTTCATTTCAATTACATCAATGGTTACAAAATGCAGCGGAAGAAATTACAGATCAAATTATACTATAACAAATGTTCTATCTATAAGATCAATCATGCTTCTTTCTTTTATGACAAACTTTAGCATCTGGTTTGATTATGAAAGCTATGGGATTGTTTCACAAATTATGACCATCATGGAATATGAGCTGTTGGGGTATAAGGTCATAGGATAGGGACCACAGGGTTGTTGATGGAAGCTTTAGTGGGTCTTGTCGACATAATATCATTATTACTCCCTAATATTGGGGGTATAATATTTATCTAAACTTATTCGAGAGAGCACAATTTGAGATTGTTTATTTTTTTTTGTACAGTAGGAGCAATGTGAGTAGCTTTTTTCGAGGCATTGTTTGTGTTGATGAAGTATTGATGCACGTATAAAGTTGTCACATTCATCAATGATTCGTATCTTCTGTTTTAGAATATGAGTTGTGCCATTTAATTCTTCTGTTTTATTGTTAAGCCTCTTGAGAAAGTGAGTAGCCTTTGAAAGTTTTTAAGAATTTTATATGTATGAAGGTGTAACCGCCCTTACTCGATTTGGACACATGACAAAATAAAAGATATCTCATTACTCACCAAAGTGATCTCAAATTAATCATAAATAAATTTTAGATTAATAATGTGAAAAAATATAATTTAACAATTCATTTAATAACAATATTAAAAAATGGGAACAATAGAATTAAAAACAACAATTGATCAATTTTATTTTTTAAGGGACAAAATTATAAAATTATAAATAAAATTCTGAATAACAATTAAAACATGAAATTTATTGAATTATTATGTAATTTAGCTCTTATTCAAAATTATGAGTATTAAAACAAACTGGAATCAAATTGGATGTCAAATGGCCCAGATATGATTGTAGGATTAAATTGTAAAAAATTTAAAATTTGAGGAAGAATTTTGAAAATTTTAGTTCAAATTGTTTAGGGTATGGAAGTTTCTTGAAAGTTTTAAAACTCAATGCTTAATTCCAATACTTTCCTACTTAGATGCCTAAAAATGAAGTTTAAACTTTTTTTTAACCTTATTGCATCACATATAAACCCTATACACCATATATAACTCATACTCATGTCTTAAACCCTTAAAAACATGTCCATGCTATTGTACGAATCATATGGGTTATTAACTTTCTCTCTTTTTCTTGTGTCGCCGTTAGTCTTTTTTTCCCTTCATATTTGTAATTGACGGTGACATCAATCTTAGTGCTAATTGTGACCATCAATATTCGATGTTTTTTTCTTTATTTTATTAGGTCGTATCTTTGTATTTTTTGTTATTTTTAATTTTTAATAACTCTACTTTTATGCCACATTTCCTCCGCTTTTTGATACATTTTCGGTCGTCTGGTCGTTATTTGCGCTTATCTTTTTTCTCGGGGCTAAATTTGACATCGTCACGACTGATCAAGATAGCGCTAATTTGTTATCATGTTGATTCTCCCTGCTTTGGATCATTGGATTGGATTTGGATACGTAATTTACGTTCGTGGATAGCTTTATCATGTAGTTTGAATTTGATTTGTGGTTTGCCGGTGATGTTTCAATGACTCGATCCCTTTTTGTGGACTGTTTACCGTTGCAGTCAGATGTGTTCGTATCTACCTTTTATTCAATTTTATTTGGTTAGGTTTTTAACCTTTTCCTTATACGATCTTTTTAATCTTAAATGACTAGTTTTTTTATGTTAATGGTTATAGAAAAATGTTCTTATTATGTATTTTAATTTATGGTTGTGATTATAAACTCTCACTGTAATTTAGATATTTTTTAAATTTTGATAAAATTAGATGCTTATATCTTTTATATATATATATGTGTGCATGCTCATTTAATACTTATACAAATCATTCATTAATCTTTTTAAACTCTTAAGCTAGATAACTTATGCACACAACATTAAAAATTCTTATATACTTATCACTGACATAAGTAAAGAAATGTTATGATATGTAGTACAAAATATTATTGCTTAAGCACTTGTTGTGACTTTTGATCACTTTCTTGCATTTAAATTTTACCTACGCATGGAAACACACCACAAGTTAAAGCTATTAAAGCTCAATAAAACAATCAAGTATACATGTATGAAACAATATAAAAAAGTTCTCATTATCATCATATGATTACGAACAAAATCGGATAACATAACAATTTATAACATACTCATTCAGGTAGAGTCTTTGGCTTTATTTTTTATTCAATTTTCAATGGAATTGACCATATGAAATAGATAACTAAAATACGATATTCAAATTTATTAGGTACATTAAGTGCATAAAAATATCGGGTACCATTACTGCAATCCTTGACATATGAAAGTGCATACCAGTGGGCACATTAAAGTGAAAATATTGGATACATTGAAGTGCAAACATTGAGAATGATCTCTAACTTTATATAAACATTATGATTATCTTTGAAATAAAAATATTTCCATCATATATTATCATGTAACATATAAAATCATAATCATCGTTCAGAATATACTTTTTATACAATTTCACCATTAGTTTTACACAATTAAAAAACATACCTTAATAGTCTTTTCTTCATATTTTTCTTTAATTTATTATTTCAACAAAAAAAACTTTATTTAATTGATTCAAATTTTATATTCAATGCAAAAATTATATATACAAAAATTACAACAACAAAAAACATCATGTTTTCGTATCAATTGGGAGGAGGAACGTTAGAGAATATTAACGGTAAAAAGAATATTGTTTTCCCCAAAAGACTCGAGTTTAAATAATTGCGTCTATAAGACGTGTGTTTATCAGTAAATTAAGAAAAAATTAAAACAAATACTATCTTATAATCATCTTATTTTACTTTCATTATACATCCTTTTTTAAAACATCCTTGTGATAATAGCATGCAAAAGTAAGATTACTTCTTTTATTATTATAGATCAATTTAATCTTTGTACTAATAAAAGAAGTCAAATAAGAATAAATTATTCAATTCTTTTCATCAATACATGGATTAAATTTATTTTACTTAATAATAAAAAATAATTTAAATATATCCCTATTAATATAGGGATATAACGGGTAACTTTCACCCTTAAGCGTCGCTAAATTAGGAGCCGCCATTGTTAATAGAGTGGTAGAAGGATTTTTGCACATGGGGCATTAACAAACAGTAGCTTGACAATGGCTCATCTTGATTTCTTTTTCAACCTTTTTATTTTTATAATTACGTAGCATTTAGCGACGGATCCATCCTTATTTTATAATGAACTTGTGTTTATTTAAAATTTGATTATTTTTATTAATTATTTATTTTATTAATCACATCTATCTTGAAATTATATTTATGTCTATTCCATATAAAAGTTTTATAGTATTAATATATGTGTATTAAAATAATATCTATATCCGCCAATACGGAATTGCCCATAATTATAACATTAATCCATCCCACTCCCACACCACCTGCATTGGTTGCACTACTAGGACCACCTCTAAACACATTAATCTATCTTCTTAATACACATAAAAATTAATAATTTAAAATTAAAAAGATACGAAAATATAATTTTAAATATTATCTTTTAAAGGTGAATTATGAACGTGTCACCATTTTACTTGTTTTGTGTTATTTCTTCTGGTGCTAAACAGATCAGCCTCCATGAACCTTCTTTTTTATTATTTATATTTAATTAAGAAAACCAACGCAATTGTGCAAATTTGAGAGATAAATCTTAATTAATGTGATAAAATGAATAGACAACGAGATGGCATTGAGGAAAATAAACCAGAAAAATAAGGGTAATTACAAATCTAAGTGGGTTATAAATCCGACAGTGAAACGTAGATTTCTATTCACTTCTCCATTGGACTGTAATCGACAGCCATGGCCTCCATGGCTTCTTCTAAGTTCTTCACAAGCTTCTTCTTCATCCTCGTATTATGTCTCAAAGTCACAGCTAAAAATACCTACATTGTTCACATGAAACATCAAGAGAAGCCTCTTCCTTTTGAAACTCACCATGATTGGTACAGTTCAAGCTTGCAATCACTCTCCGACTCCCCATCGGATTCCCTTCTTTATTCCTACACTGCTGCATTCAATGGCTTCGCCGCCTCTCTCGATGAAGAGCAAGCTGAGTCCCTTGGCAGATCAGATTCAGTTCTGGGTGTTTATGAAGACACCGTTTACACTCTCCACACAACTCGTACCCCGCGATTCCTCGGCATTGACTCTGAGATGGGACGCTGGGCTGGCCCTAACACCCAGCAACTCGAACAAGCTTCTCGGGATGTTATTATTGGTGTTCTGGACACCGGAGTTTGGCCGGAATCTAAGAGCTTCGACGACGCCGGCATGCCGAAGATTCCTTCTAATTGGCGCGGTGAGTGTGAGTTGGCATCTGATTTTGGTCCCAAGTTTTGCAACAGGAAGCTCATCGGCGCTCGAAGCTTTTCCAAAGGTTACCATATGGCGACCGGAAGTGGCGGAATTTTCAAGAGAACCAAACAAATCGAGTCCCCGCGTGACAGAGATGGTCACGGGACCCACACAGCCAGCACCGCAGCTGGTTCTCACGTGGCCAATGCTAGCCTCCTAGGATACGCCAGAGGGATTGCTCGTGGGATGGCGACTCACGCACGCGTCGCCACCTATAAGGTTTGTTGGGAAACTGGTTGCTTTGGATCCGATATTCTTGCCGGAATGGATCGGGCCATTCAAGACGGCGTCGACATCCTCTCCATGTCTCTCGGCGGGGGATCCGGGCCATATTACCGCGATTCCATCGCTCTCGGAGCTTTCGTGGCGGTACAGAGGGGTATTTTCGTCTCTTGCTCTGCTGGCAACAGTGGGCCCGTCAAGGCTACGCTTGCCAACGTGGCACCTTGGATTATGACCGTTGGCGCCGGGACTTTAGATCGAGATTTTCCCGCTTATGCCGTTTTAGGGAACAAAATCGGCTATAACGGCGTCTCGCTTTACAACGGTCGAGGAATGGGGAAAAAATCGGTCCGTTTGGTTTACAACAAAGATAACAGTTCCAGTAATTTATGTCTCCCCGGTTCACTAGACCCGGCTTCAGTTCGTGGGAAAATAGTGGTTTTGCGATAGAGGCACGAATGCCCGAGTGGAAAAAGGAGTGGTTGTGCGCGACGCCGGGGGGTGGGAATGATATTAGCAAATACACCAGCTAGCGGTGAGGAATTGGTGGCCGACAGTCACTTGCTACCTGCCATGGCGGTGGGGAGGAAAATCGGTGACTTGATTAGGAAATACGTACGGTACCATTCTAACCCAACTGCAAAGCTTGTTTTCAGTGGGACCGTCTTGAATCCGGCCTTCACATGTCGTTGCGGCGTTTAGTTCCCGGGGACCCAATATGGTGACACCGCAGATACTGAAGCCAGATATCATTGGTCCTGGAGTTAACATATTGGCCGCGTGGTCTGAGGCTATTGGTCCAACCGGGTTGGTTAAAGACCCGAGGAGGACTGAGTTCAACATCATGTCAGGTACGTTATAACGGCTATATATTTGCCGGTTTTACTTTTCAAGCTTATGATATGTCATTACAGTGGTTTAGAGATTCAAATAGTGATTTGTTGTCGGAATAACGAGTATTAATTAATGATAGTAGTATTATTTGAGACTATTATTGTACGATTATGATATCCGTAATTACTGAAATAACATTCCTTATATATATATAATTGAAAGCACTACTGCAACTGATTTAAATCCATGCCATCACTTTCTCCTTTTACTGCTTAAATTATATATGTTTGAAAACCATAGGTACGTCGATGTCCTGCCCACACATCAGTGGGCTAGCAGCATTGCTGAAAGCAGCTCATCCAGAATGGAGCCCAAGTGCAATCAAATCGGCTCTAATGACCACTGCCTACCCCCAAGACAACGGCTAAATTACATAACTGACACTGTTTGCTTTAAATTTTCTATTTCTGACATCGTTTGACCAATATTTCCAGAAGTAGCACCTATTCTGCTGAGTTGGCAAAGGCGCGTCCCCGGGGACGCGCTTTACCCGCGTTTTCGCTGAGTTGGATGCCACGTGTGGAAGGCGCGTCCCCGGACGCGCCTTTGTCAACTCAGCAGACACGTATTTTGTTTTATAATAAATAGTTTATTTTTATTATTATTATAAATTAATAATATATTATGTAAAATGTTTCGATTATAATGTAAGAATTATCAAATGTATTTTGTTAATGTGTGTTAAAGGTGGAGTGAATTATCTACATTAATATGATATAACAATATATGAAAACCAGTTTTGACTTTATTGTAGTTATAGGAAAAATGTATGAAATTATAATATTACACATATGGTTATATTATTATTTTTGATTTTGATTATCGATCTATTAATTTTATCAGTTAATTATTTAAATGTTATCAATCTAGTCATCTCATATCAATATTTAACGAAAATATTGATGCATAAGTTAATAAATTAGTATAATTACATATTTAATCTTCAAGACTTACATATTTTATAAAATTAGTCTTATTGAAAATTTAATTTGATAAATTTAATCCTCCAATCAGAACATGAAATGTGTCATCGTATACATAAATTTTTTAATAACTTTTAATTTGTTTAATTTAATATTTTTCTCTACTTAGAAGGTGGAATTATTATTATATTTTAAAAAAATTATAACTAATAATATTAATTATTATATTAAATAAATATATTAAATATATTTATGTATTTAAAAGTTAAAAAACAATTATTTAGGTGTACATACATTGACAAATTATATAAATGCAATAACATTAAATTATTAGAAACAAAAACATTCATTTAAATACAATATTAATTACATAAGAGTTGACGGTTATATGATGATAACAGAGCTGGACATTTTTTTCTATTGTGCCCGATGTTTCTACAATGTCCACATCGTTTTTGTTCTGTTGACTTCTCCCGAATATCCATATCACAATGTATTCTAGTAGATTTTGGACGACCTGAGTCCCTCAATAGCAATGGATCTGGTACAATTGTAAGCCAAGTTTGAATCTCATTTGGGTCTCTTTCGTTTCCTATGGGCGGAAACTCAAATTCATATACCTTGAATACTTGTGAAAGTTGATATACGGGATCAACATATTTTTTGTAGTCCAAATGCGAATGTGAGCAAGCAGCAATGACATGAGAGCATGGATATTTGAGTGCTTGAAAGAAACCACAATCGCACCACCTCTCTTGCAGATTAACTCTGAAAGAGTTAGCTTCAATCCCTTGCAGCGGACGTGGCATTTCGGTTACACGAAACAATTCACGGGTGCGAGAAAAATTTGTAACTAACATCACATTTGATGCAGCCACTTTTTTCTGTAAATCAACTACTAGTCTTGGGTGGTAAATATGTCCGTTTTGCATCCAAGTAAGAGCTTGTCCACCGAGCTTTGCAAAGAGTTGACCAAAATGAAAATAAGTCGTTTTAACCAACGCCGTGACTGGTAAATGACGTGTCCCCTTTAAGGTTGAATTTATTGCTTCAGCCAAGTTTGTTGTCATATGACCATAGCGATACCCCCGTAATATGCATTTGTCCACATTTCTTTGCTGATGTCTATAATGTACTCGCACCCCTTCTTATTTTTGCCAAACAGCTCTTGTAGCATCGACTCAAACCTTTGAGGTAAGAGTTCGTAACCTAAGCCATTAGGAATATGTAATAGTTAATATGAAGTATAAATAAGTAATAAGAAATTGATAGAAAAATTGGGAAAAAGTAACATACCCATCCGCACGACTAACTGACGTTCATCGTTCTTCTTGTATTTTCCGTAATAGTTTGCAGCAATATGACGGACACAATAACGATGTTGAACATGTGGAGGTCTATACATTGTACCCAAAGAGTCCATTGCTGCTTTTATCCCGGCTCCTCGGTCTGAAATAATGTATAGTCGTTCCCTGGTGACAACATGTAAACGTAAATTTTTAAGGAAAAAAGCCCAAGACTCAGTGTCTTCTCCTTGAACGAGGGCAAACGCAACAGGAAGAATATTGCGATTTCCATCTTGGACCACAGCCAATAATAAAACTTGCTTGTATTTCCCATACAAGAAAGTACCATCAATTTGGACAATTGGTTTACAGTACTTGACTGCATTAATACACTGAGGGTAAGTCCAAAAGACTCGGTAAAATTGGCAGTGATCGCGAACCATTCGATCATTCACGTAATGATGTTGAGTTTCGAACTCAACAATTGTCTCAGGATTAAGTCTTTGCACAACATGAAACCAACTGGGCAGCTCGTTGTAAGAGGAATCCCATTCGCCATGAAGTTTGCAAATGGCATTCTGTTTTGCCAACCACGCTTTTTTATATGAGACAGTGTACCCATATTGTGACTGTATAGCAGAAATCAACACTGCAACAGCTATATGAGAGCTTTGCTTCACAATGGGCGTGATTGCTTGACAAATAATGTTTGAGTCCAAGTTGGGATGATCCTAGTTTATACCTGTTGCACAACATGTATGAGGACCGTTGTATCTGGTTAGTTCCCATAAGTTGTTCTTCCTCTTCCTCTTTGATACACGGACCATCCATTGACATCCGTTGTCACGTTGGACTCAGTAGCAGACATATTTCTCCGTGTTAGATCGATCAACTCGGGACTGAACTGAATTACGAATATTGTAACTCTTTATTTCCATCATTGCTTCCTCATTCGATGCGAACTCCATTCCAATATGTAAATTATCGTCATTGACTGATGATTGAAGTCCATAGTTGCCAACATCAGGAAGATCTGGAAATTCAGGCTCATACATTGCATCATAATCAGCCTCATACATATGTGCAGGAAGTTCGGCTGGTGTTGTATTTATCGGAACGTCATCCTCGTCATCATCAGAATGTACGTTAAACTGTGGTGAGTCAGGTTCAACGAATAATCCCGTTTCAGCACCATCTGCACCTGGCTCCCGAAGAGGTTCTTCTGGTGGAGATGAGGGTTCCTCCGATAATCCAATGTTGAGGTCAAATAAGTTCCCGCTTGCGTGTCCTCCCCTTGAACTTGAGGCCATTGTATCATGTGGGATGTGAATAGACTGTCGTCTCGTTGGCATTTCCATATGTAAGTCGAAAACATTGGCAGATGAATGTCTGCCCCTTGAAGTAGAAGATATGTTGCCATATGGATTATTGGTGAAGCCACGTGGGTTGAGATCATAAGCAGTTGCAGATGAATGCCTTCCTATTGAACTTGATGGCATGGTATATGGCGTTGGATCCGCCATTAATGATGTGAAATCATTACAGATCAGTTGTGTCGGGCTATCAACTTGATCAGTTTGATATGTAATGCCAAAGTGAGAGGAATATGAGAGACCACGAGTTGTACGAACCTCAATAAAAGTGGCATACATTTCAATAAGAGATTGTGAACTCCCCATATGAGCATCAACCATCATAGAAACATCATCATCGTTTGAAAGCTGAAATGATGTATACGTGAGCGGAAAAAGTTCAGTAGGAAATCTGTACTGAAGTGAAGATAGTCTTCTCTGGCCTGCTACACGAATCTTTAACGAAATTTTTGTGATTAACTCCTCAATTGTGATGTTTCTCTTCAAGGTTAAGGGGATATAATGATCTGACTCAAAAACAACCCCCTCTTCAGCTTCCTTAATTTCTCCATCATACAAAACAACAGCAGAAAGACGACTCATTTTCAGAGAATTTGAGAATTTAGAGTTTGGGAATTTGAGAATTTGAAAGATTGTGAACTGAAGTTTGTTTTGAAAGTTTATAATACGTTGCATATAATAGTGTCTATAATCGGAGTACTATTCACATGAATGCGCGTTCCCGGGGGCACGCCTTCCATTATTTCGTCAGAGAATATGTTATCATTGCCCTATTATGTCACTCATGTCCCTCGGGGACACTAGATATATCAGTACCTATTATTTCACTATTCACATGAAGGCGCGTTCCCGGGGGCGCGCCTTCCATTATTTCGTCAGAGAATATGTTATCATTGCCCTATTATGTCACTCATGTCCCTCGGGGACACTAGATATATCAGTACCTATTATTTCACTATTCACATGAAGGCGCGTTCTCGGGGGCGCGCCTTCCATGATTTCGTCAGAGAATATGTTATCATTGCCCTATTATGTCACTCATGTCCCTCGGGGACACTAGATATATCAGTACCTATTATTTCACTATTCACATGAAGGCTCGTTCCCGGGGGGGCGCCTTCCATTATTTCATCAGAGAATATGTTATCATTGCCCTATTATGTCCCTCATGTCCCTCGGGGACACTAGATATATAAGTACCTATTATTTCACTATTCACATGAAGGCGCATTCCCGGGGGTGCGCATTCCATTATTTCGTCAGAGAATATGTTATCATTGCCCTATTATGTCACTCATGTCCCTCGGGGACACTAGATATATCAGTACCTATTATTTCACTATTCACATGAAGGCGCGTTCCCGGGGGGGCGCCTTCCATTATTTCGTCAGAGAATATGTTATCATTGCCCTATTATGTCACTCATGTCCCTCGGGGACACTAGATATATCAGTACCTATTATTTCACTATTCACATGAAGACGCGTTCCCGGGGGCGCGCCTTCCATTATTTCATCAGAGAATATGTTATCATTGCCCTATTATGTCACTCATGTCCCTCGGGGACACTAGATATATCAGTAAATCAGGTAAATTATAACCAAAATTTAACTTCTTTTGAAAGTTCAGCAAGTTAAGAATAACTTAAATTAAAACGTTATGTGAAGTTTGAATAAATTAGATAAAATGTTATGGATAAATTGAATAAATGTGAAGTGATAAGTTGATTGTGACATTGAAATTGTACGGAATGAGCATTGAAATGTGACATTGAATAAATTTCCAATTCACCCCCCCTCTTGGCTGATTCCGTCGATCGATGAACTCAACATAAGTTGATTTTAATGTATACGTTTTAATATATATGTTAATGATAAAATCATATGTATGGATAAATTTAATTTCAATTTAAGTATTGTGTACTATAATTGGAATATAACTTTTAATTTCGAATACAATTGGAATATTAAGTTGAAATTTAATGTTAAATTTTGAATACTATAATTTATATTTTAAATTTAAATTTGAATAATATTATTTTTATTTTTATTTTAAATTTCGAATAATATAATTTGTATTTTAAAAACATTTATCAAACATTTAATGTTAAATGTGAATAAAAAATAACATTAAAAAATATGTATGTAACAACCATGAAACATTTAAATAACATAACCAAATTACATAAAATTCTGAAATATAATTATTTAAATAACATTAAATATAACTGGATCACCGATGTCGTCTTCTCGAATGAGTTCCACATGGCAGTGGTTGTCTATTTCGTGGAGGATTTCTTCGTGGAACTTGTTCTTCAGTCTCCTCATCTTCACTATCATCATCAGCAGCATTTTCTTCATTTGGTGTAGATGACGCTGAAGGGGCTGAAGGGCCTGTATAAAATAACGACCCTGGAGGAGTGCTAGTAACAATCCCACCGCTCACCGGGAACTGTGAAAACTGTGGAAACATTGGCATCGATGTATGTGATCCAGATGGAGATTGAGGTGTCTGCGGAGAAGCACCACCAGCCAAATAAGATGCATATGAACCATATGCTGGATCATTAAACATAGTCGTATATGCACCTCCATATGGTATAAAACCCTGCGGGCTAGGCATGTAACCTGGCGGGCTAGGCATATAACCTGGCGGGCTAGGAATGTAACCCTGCGGGCTCGGAATGTAACCCTGCGGAGATGGCATATAAACTGGTGGGCTTGGCATATTAAGTGGAGGGCTGGGCATGTACCCCTGCGGCATCGACGAATAAGGATGTTGTGGTGGGACTGATGCAGAACCGGTAACGCTTTCTCTCCGTCCACGCGTCGGGGGACGATGATATTGAGACGGTTGACGTCTTTCTCGACGCCTAGGAATGTTAACCCCTCGTGCTTCCGCCGAAAGTAGAAACGGCTTCCCATTTTCATTAAACCAGTCCATATAGTTATCCGTAACCATATGACCAGTTTCAGCGTAATATTGTCGAGGCCAACAGTGTATATCGGTTCTCCCAAAGCGCAATCCAATCTCTGTGTCTCACCACCCAGTTAACATCTTTCTTTCCTCGTCTATCTATGTTATGCACGTCGTCTAAATTCCTAGGAGCTCCAGGAATATATTGCGTACAACCATACTGACGGAGCACGCGATCAACTGGATGCCACTCAATAATAGCATAACATATAAGAGGTATAACCGATATCCATACCTCTAATGACCCACTAAGGTGGGGTGGGATGCAAGCTTTCACTTCATCGCTCGCATAAAGTATCCACTGAAACTGAAATATAAATATACAATTCAAATAAATAAAATATTCTAATTATATCTAACATTTTAAATTAAAATATTAATAATTAAACAAATTTAAAAACATACCTCAGACCCAGCTTTCGTATCAATAAGTAAACGAATTTCCTCTAACCCAGTAGGTATACTTTTATGGTCCTTTCTTTTCATCGACCACCTATGAAATATAATATAAACTAAATATCACCCTATTTAATTGAAAATATTTAAATCAAAATTTAGTTCGAAAATTACCTCAACAATAAGGGGAATACGTATGGTTCATTCACGATCGGGCATAAGAAAGGCATGCGGAACCACGCCCATGATTGTAGAAGCAGAAGACATCCACCGATAGCAGTTTTCTTATAATTCGTCGCCCGACACATTTCTCTAAAGAGAAATGCCAAAACTGCAGCACCCCAACTATATCTTCCAGCTTCATCAAAATCGATCAGATGCCGCAACCACATACAATGCACCTGGTTGCAAGATTTGTCGGGCATCAATATTCCTCCAATTATTCGTAGAATATATGCCCGAGCACATACCTTTGCTTGATCCTCTGAAGCATTTTCATTTAAAACCTCAAAATTAGCTTTCAACCAAGATAAAGCTATTCTACCTCCATTAAACTCTGGCGGAGCAGCTCCAAGATAATCAATGCACATTGATTGCCAATCACCATCCGCCATACCACACATCATATTTCCGTCGACGGGAAGCCCCAGATGCATAGAGACATCCTCCAATGTAATTGTCGCCTCTCCACATGGAAGGTGAAAAGTGTGTGTCTCGGGCCTCCACCTCTCAATCAGTGCAGAAATTAGGACAGGTTCGAGTTTGCAACCGCCTATAATTGTTGCAATATACCCGAACCCGGCAGAAGCCAAATATGGAAAAATACGTTCCGGTGTCGGTATACGTGGATTTTTAATAAAAGTCTCTAAAATACGATCAGCATCCTAAATAATATACATTATAAAAAATAAAAATTAATATAAATTCATAATAACTTTAAAATAAAAATAAATTTAAATATTAACATTAATTATAAAAAATATTACCATATCGCTAAAATGTCTGGAGATATGATCAATATCCAATCGCAACAGCATTTCGTTTTCCATTATAACTGTAGACAAAACAATATAATTAGCAAAAAAATTAATAATTCTAAATAAATAATAATTATATAAATATTATTTTAATAAAAAAATAATATTTACATAAATAAATTAATATAAAAAATAATAACTATTTAAAAAAATACTAACATAAAAATAAATTTCTTACCACTAATAACAAATTTAAAACTCAAATAGTTGGAGAATTTGAGTTATATAAGAGAGGAGAATATGATTTTGGTGTGAAGAATGAGGGAGGGTTGATGGGGTTTATATAGGGGAGGAGGAGGGGTAGTTAGGAAAAACGGATGGGGGCATTTATGACATTTAATGTAAGGCGCGTCCCCGGAGATGCGCTTTCCACACGTGTCTGCTGATATGGCAAAGGCGCGTCCCCGGGGACGCGCCTTTGCCAACTCAACAGAAAGGGTGCTACTTCTGGAAATATTGGTCAAACGGTGTCAGAAAGGGAAAATTAAAAAAAATGGTGTCAGTTATATAATTTAGCCCAAGACAACACCAACTCATCTCTCCTTGATGCAACCAATGGCTCACCATCGAACCCATGGGTACATGGCGCCGGCCACGTTGACCCTCACAAAGCTCTTTCTCCGGGGCTAATATATGACATCTCCGTCGAAGAATACATAGCCTTCTTATGCTCACTCGGCTACACCATTGATCAGGTTAACACCATTGTCAAGCGCCCTAATATTACATGTTCCAAGAGTTTCAAAGACCCTGGTGAACTCAATTACCCATCATTTTCTGTTTTGTTTGGCGAAAAAAGGGTTGTTCGATACAGTCGTGAATTGACAAATGTTGGCCCTGCAAGGTCGATATACAAAGTGACCGTGAATGGCCCATCATCTGTTAGGATTTCAGTAAGGCCCCGGACTCTCGTCTTTAGGCATGTCGGGGAGAAGAAGAGATACACTGTGAGGTTTGTAGCTAAGAGAAGGAAGAGATCAACAGTTAGATCTGAATTCGGTTCAATAGCGTGGGGCAATGCTCAAAACCAAGTGAAGAGCCCAGTTGCTTTCTCATGGGCATTACTGTAAAAACTTGGAGAGCTTAGTTTTTAGTTTTGGGTTTTCCTTTTAATGAGCCTCGCACTGCCCCACTTCATCGGCGGAGTAAAACCCAGACAATCATTTACAGATTTGTATCTAGTTTTATATTTTTGTTGTTAATCTAGAAATGGCAGGGTGCAATTTACTTGAGTATTTCAGGTGTTTCAATTTCATGGTAGAGAACGATTTTAAGTAGGGGAAACTCTACAAATGGTCACTAATATTTAAGGTTTCATTTTACCCACTAAAATTTTAAAAGTGACGTATTAGTCACTAATATTATCGATTTATAATAAAATGATCACTTCATCGTTATTTTCTTAAAATATGACGTGAGAATGTTAATAAAAAAGGTTAAATCTATTTTTACCCCTAAACTTTTATTAAAACGTCAAATAGGTCCATAAACATTTTTTAGCTTTGCCACAAGTCAGACCTTGGGTGATCCCATAATTAAGAGATGCGTTAAAAGGCAAAGTGGCCAAAGCCCCCTGTTTTACAAACTTAACATGTATCTGAGAATTATGCTAAAATTGCAAGGAAAAGGTTCGTTACTTTTAGATAATGGGTATTGTTTTTTAAGGAATGAAGGGAGGTTAGGTAAGTTAAGAATATTAGTCGTATTTAGGAAATAGAAGCAGGAAAGTGCAGATGCTAGCTCACAGAAGAAGAGAGAACTAGAAAAATTGACTGCAAAATGTGACACTAAAAAATATTATATGCATGATAGGTTCACAGAGAGGGAGATAAAAGAAAAAATGGGTGGCCACTGGCTAATATATTTTACCTTGTGTATATAAAAAGAGTGTTAATGGACGATCACCCATTAGGTTCACAGACTCTTAATTTAAGAGCTCAATACATCCTGTTGAATAGAAATGCGGATATTTCTTACTTTTTAACAAACAAATCATTTATTCACAAACTAATAGTTTACATTTAACTTGAATTACTACATAACGATAAAAACATTTATATTTAAATATAATTTTTGCTCATATTTATATCAATTATTCGAACAAGGAAACTTAACTCAACCCATGAAAGTTTATAATACTAAAAAAAAAGAAGGTTTGTCGTCCATACAACAGACCTTTTTGCATTGACTTTCAAACTTATCAATAATATTACAGTGAATCTACTTTGGTTTGAAATTGTCCTAATAATTTGTTTTTTTTTATGAAAACTTGTCACTTTTCCGACATTACTTGTTCTAATTAACCTTATACAAAGCCATTTAAAAAGGGTTTTCTTTACTTTCATGAAAAACAACCATAAAAAATGCTATGCACAACGATCTTCCATGCTTTTGTATCAATTGTCGTTGCTTTCCGACAACCTCAAATCTTTTTTTTTCTTTTTTTCTTTTGGGTACCGTCTATCCGACAACAAACATGGGTCTGCCACGAGCGGTTAAATAATTAAGGATTTACCTCATGTATCTTGCCAATGGCTTCTTTCAGTGGCAACCGTTGATCGGGATTGCTTGCGGTACAAGCAGCTCCGATACGGAGAAGTTGAACCATCTGATCGATTGAACTTGAACCTTGCGATATCTCGGGATCGATCAAATCCTCTGCTTGGTCCTCAAGTATCGCTGTTTGAACCCAATGAACGATATCGATCCCACCTTTGCCGTTGTTTAGATATTGAGATGGGAATTTGCCTGTAATGATTTCCAGGATGAGGACTCCCAGACAATAAACGTCGGATTTTGGAGAGATTTGTTGAGTTTGAAGATATTCTGGGGATTTGTATGCAAACAACCTTTGGGGAAGAGAGTCGGGGCTTGTCAATGGCTGAAACGCGAAATCGCTCAGCAACGGTATATAATCGTCATTTAAGAGAACATTACTGGATTTAAGGTTTCCATGGGGAATCTCGTACGTTGCAAATTCAGCATGAATGAAACCCAAACCATCGGCGATTCCTTTGATGACCTTCAAACGTGTTGGCCAATTTAGATTAGCATGAATGTTTCCTCGATCACCTGAATTAAATCAAACACGTTTTTACTTTAATTTATTGATGCAATTGGAACGCTTTTCAATTATAGGGACCAATTTGAGTATGTAAAATCATACCATGCAAGACGTATGAGAGGCTTCCCTTGGGCATATATTCAGAAACAACTAGCTTCTCCTCTTTTTTAGAATGGTACGCCAATGGCGTCAATATATTGGGGTGCCTTAATTTCCCTATCCGTTTCATTTCAGCGTCGAACGCTTCTTTTCCCAGCCGATTCAACTCCTTCATCCTCTTCACCACCACCGCCAACCCATTCCCCATCACCGCCTTATACGCCGACCCCAACCCGCCGTTCCCGAGCACCTCCGCCGCCGCCTTCATCAAATCCTGCATCCCGAATGCACCCTTCTCGTCGTTCACCATAACCAAGTCAGCCCCCCCACCCTTGCTCCCATGCGACGACCCTTTCTTCGAGGAAGTACTCCGACGGCTCGTTTCCGACGTCTTCCGCTTCGTGGTGGTGGTCGTCGATTGAGCTTGCGACACCTTGACCTGAAGAACCTCCTCTTTTAACGGTTCTTTGCTTAAGATACTGAAATCGTCTTCCCTCCTACGCCGCTTTGCCATAACGAAGGCGACAATCACCAACAACAACACAGCAGCAATGCTGGCGATAGAAATAACGACTACATTTGAATCGGATCCTTGGCTTTTATCCACCGACGAGGCTCCTTTTTTATCCGATTGGTCAACTTTGCTACCCGAGGATTCGCCATTGTCATCTGATATGTCAGTTTCGTTGCACTCTTTGGACAAGATTCTCCCACAAAGACCGTCGTTTCCTTGGAATGCGCTTACTTCGAACTTGGAGAAACTTGCTGGGATTTCGCCTTGGAGTTTGTTATCCGATAGATCAAGGGAATTAAGCACTTCTGGATGTTTCAACCGTGGTATTTTCCCGGAAAATTGATTGGACTCTAAATGGAGTTCAATGAGACTGGGGAGTTGCATTAACGAATCGGGGATTTTGCCACTGAATTTGTTTTCGTTTAACCAAACTTTCTTCAAATTCTCCATGGGATAAAAATAATCATTGGAGATTTCACCGCTGAAATGATTCTGAGACAAATAGATAGCCCTTAAAGTAGTGAGGTTATTGAATTCCGGGATGGAACCCGTGAAGGAGTTGTTTATAAAGCTGACGGCTTTCAACCCACGAATTTGAAGCAAAGCCTGAACGTCGATTTGACCGGAGAGCTGTAAACCTGTCAAATGGAGGGCAACGACGGAACCACCAGAACACTGAACACCAAGCCATTTCTTCTGACAAGGATCAGAATCGGAAACCCAAGAATCCAAATTGGCATGGGTGAAAGATTTCTTGAGCTTGAGGAGGGCTTTTTCATCATCAGAAAGAGAGAAAGAAAGGGCGGTAAGAAAAGCAAGGAGAGAAAGCAAAAGGAGGAAGCGAACAGCGGCCATAACTGACCGGAAATGGTGAAAAGCTCCGGGAAGAAACGAGCCGCTGCTGCGTGAGAAATGTGGGTTTTTGTTGGGGTTGATTCTTGGTATGATTTTAGGTTAAGTTTGGATTGAGGGGAGGCTGGTGTAGCCATTGTTGGATACGAGTATGGGGGAGAGGTTGAATTCAATGATGGAGCTGGCGAAGGTTACATCAGATTCTAAGAATAGGATTTCGATTGAAAAAACCAGAAACAGTGGTTTTTAACTTCCTTTTTTGACTTTTTCTTCCCCTTTTTTTGGCCCCCTCTTCCCTCCGCCACCTCAACTTATAATCATTTTATATGGATCATCATTTCATTATGAAGCCATCTTAATCTGACGATAAATCTATTCATTCTTTAATTATGTTACCTAATTATTTTAATTAAGTTATTAATTTTTAAAATGAATTTAACTAATTTTGTATAATTGTGTGTGTATATATATATATATATTAAATTGTATTTTATTGGTGAAAATCACTAAAAAAATCCAATAGAACCTAGGATTTGTGAGAGGGGATAGGCAATCACTGAATCAAGTTCAATTTATGATTGATAACATTTTTGTTTTAAATTATTATTAATTATATTTTAAATATATTTATTAATAATTTAAAATATATTATAACTATAATTGAAAATACAACTAAAATGTGTTTTATATATTTTATAAATGTTAATTATTAATATTTTAAATATGTTTAAAAATATATCAATAATTTAAAAAATCTATTATTAATATACTACAAATATGTTTAAAATATATTTATCAATAATTTAAAATACCTTACACTGAACAGTAATTTAAGACATGGAAAATTATTGTCGATTGTTTAAGTGATTAGGATGCTCATCTCCACCCACGAGGCCCAAATTTTAATCCTATTGCATCTTTTTTTCATGATTTTTTTTGGCAATGACATACAGTTTAACGTATATGTAATTTGTTATTAAATATAAATTAATTGAAAGATACTTATAATTTAACGTCTCATAATTAATCATTAATGTAATTTACTCATCATTTTATTATTTCAACTCTAATTTTATTAGCGAATTGATTAATATGTATTAGTTTAAGATTATACGTTGTTTAAAATTTTCATATAATATAATCCATTGAGTGATCTTGGTAGTTAAATGAAGTATTAGTCCTGTGTACTAATATGCTAAAGCAAGGGAATTACTGGAAATGCCTCAATATATTAATTTATCTCATTTACATCACTTATATTGCATTTACAAACAGAGGTAAACTGGCTAACTAATCTTCTAACAATTTCTAACTTCCCTAACTGATTTCTAACATTCCTAACAACCTTTTATTCTTTACACTCCCCCTCAAGTTGGGAAGTGAAATACATCTTCAACTCCCAACTTGGATAAGAGATACTTATGTTGTGCAACACCAAGAGCCTTTGTCATAATATCTGCTTGTTGCTCTGCAGTTGGTACAAATTATGTTTGAACTAAGCCTTGCTGAATTTTTTCTCTTATGAAATGGCAATCTATCTCGATATGATTTGTTCTCTCATGAAACACAGGATTTGCTGCAATTTGTAGGGCTGCTTTGCTATCACTAAAGATCTTTGCTAGTTGAATATTGTTGACACCAAGCTCCTTTAACAAACCTTGAAACCAGATTAGTTCTAAAGTTGTTACTGCCGTACTTCTGTACTCAGCTTCTGCTGAAGATCTCGCTATGGTACTTTGTTTATTTGATTTCCATAAAACTAGCGAATCACCTAGCTTTACATAGAAACATGTCACTGACTTCCTTGTCATTGGACATGTTGTCCAATCCGAATCACAGCTAGCCACCAGTTGACAACTACTTGAAGCTTTCAAGAAAATTCCCAACCCAGGATTATTCTTTATATACCTTATCACTCTAAGAGCTGCCTCCATGTGTTCTTTCTTCGGATGATGCATGAACTGGCTAAGATGTTGAACTGAAAAAGACGTGTCAGGCCTTGTATGTGTCAAATAAAGCAGCCTGCCAATTAACCTTTGAAATTCTGCTTTGTCAGTTAAACAATCCTCACCTTTGTTGTCTTGTTGCAGGGAATAATCATATTCCACTGTAGTGAGCTTAGTATTCTTTTCTAAGGGCATTACAGCAGGTTTTGCAACCCCTAACCCTGCATCTTGAATAAGCTCAAGGGCATACTTCCTCTGATTTAATAATATCCCTTCTTTTGTTCTCAAAACTTCCAAGCCCAAAAAATACTTCAGTTCTCCCAAGTCTTTCATCTTGAAGTTCTTACGCAGTACCCCTTTCAACTCTGAAATCATCTTAGCATCATTTCCTGTGATTAGCAGATCATCAACATAAACAACAAGTACTGCTATACAATCCCCTTGTCTCTTAGTAAACATAGAATAGTCATGTTTGCTTTGACTATATCCTGCTGAAATAAGGGCTTCTGTGAGCTTGGCATTCCATTGTCTCGAGGCTTGCTTTAAGCCATAGAGAGACTTTTGTAGTCTACACACAACATTCACCCCTGACTACAAAAACCTTGAGGCAACTCCATGTAAACTTCCTCAAGTAAATCACCTTGCAAGAAAGCATTGTGAACATCCATTTGCCACAAAGGCCAAACAAAAATGGCAGCAAGTGCAAGAACAAAACGAACTGTGGTAAGCTTAGCAACAGGAGAAAAAGTATCCACAAAATCAATTCCCTCTCGTTGATTATAACCCTTAGCCATAAGTCTTGCCTTGAACCTCTCAACTTCACCGGAGGCTTTGAACTTAACGCGAAATACCCATTTATATCCAATGCATACTTTTCCTGGGGGCAAGGGAACAAGAGACCAAGTTTTATTTTACTCAAGAGCATGAATTTCCTCTTACATTGCCTTAATCCATCTAGGATCAGATTGGGCTTCTTGAAAAGTTTTTGGTTCAGGGAAATGAGAAACAGAAAGTACAAAGGATTGAGTATGTTTTGGTAAATGAGAATAAGAAATATAGTGAGATATGGGATACTTACCTGAGGGAGAAGTAGATTGGCAGTCATGAACATAATCGTGTAACCAAGATGGGGATGTTCTAGTAGTCTCAGTGTTAGGAACAGAAGCTTGAGGAATAATAATGGGAACTACATCTGTTGGAGCATTAGAAAGATCCTCTGAATTAGTTGAAGAATGATTAGTGGGGATTTCTGAAGAGGCTGAAGGAAAAACAGAATCTGAGGAAGGAGTTTGGTTAAGTGAGGAAGGAAATGAGAGTTGCAAAAAATCAGAGTCAAGTATATCAGGATGATGAGGAAAAAAAGACTGATTGGATGAAGCAAATTTAAATAGAAAAACATCTTCATGAAAGATGACATCTCGGTTAACAAAAAAAGTTTTTAAGTCAAGATTAAAGAGAATGTAACCTTTTTGAGTAGCAGAGTAACCTAAGAACACAACAGGAATAGCTTTTGAAGAAAATTTATCATTATAGTGCGGCTTTATTGTATAGCATAAACAACCAAAGACTTTAAGATGAGACAAAGATGGTGGATGATGATAAAGCATTTCAAATGGTGTTTTCCATTTAATCACAGAGGAGGGAATCCTATTAATAATGTAACATGCAGTGAGTACACACTCACCCCAGAATTTAATAGGAACATTAGAATGAAAACGAAGAGCTCGGGCAACCTCTAAGATGTGTCTATGTTTCCTTTCAGCAACATCATTCTGCTGAGGAGTGCTCACACAGGAACTCCAATGAACAATACCAAGGGAAGAAAAGAAAGGGGAACATTCTGAATTAAAGAATTCAGAGCCATTGTCACTTCTAATTACTTTAACAGAGGTAGAAAATTGAGTTTTGGCTAAGGAAATGAACTGTTTTAAAGAGAAAAGAGCATTATTTTTGTGCTTCAACAGATATAGCCAAGTCATCCTAGTGTGATCATCAACAATAGTAAGAAAAAACCTATGACCACTGTGTGTAGAAATTCTATACGCACCCCATAAGTCAATGTGAATTAGTTGAAAAGGGACGGCCGACCTAGAGGTACTTATAGGAAAATACAATCTATTTTGTTTAGCTAAGGGACAAACAGAACATTGATGCACCAAATCATGCTGAAACTTAACAGACTACAAACTGTCTATTTTATTCATTGTAGATAAAGCAGCATGCCCTAATCTAGCATGCCAAATACAAGTGTCAAGTTTGGAAGAATTCATACAAGGTGTAGTAAAGGAAAAACGATTTAAAACTGGGGGCTGAGAAACAGACAAACCAGAAGCAAAATAAGCAGACTCAAAAAAATATAATCCTCTAGACTGCCTACCAATCCCCTTCATCCTTCCAGTGCAGAGATCCTGTAGAAGGCAAAAGTCAGGGTAAAAGGTGAAAGAACAACCAAGATCATGAGTGAGCCGTGATACTGACAGTAAATTATGTTTAAATTGTGGAACAACAAGGACATTTTCAAGGCTATAATCTGAAGTAAAGTTACAGGAACCAAGATGAGTGACAGGAACCTTTTTTCCATCAGGAAAGCATATGAATCGAGTAGAGGAATCACAAGGACTAAAAGAATTCAGGCTCTTAAAATCAAATACAATATGGTCTGTTGCTCTTGTGTCAACAATCTATTTAAGTGAAACATTGAAATGTAAAGGATCGTTAGTAAATGCACCTGCAAGGTTAACAGCAGATTCAGCAGGTTGTTTGTTCAACAACTGCAGGATTTGTTCATACTGTTCTTGAGTAAACAGTGGAGGAGAACACATTGTTGAATTAAGTCGAGTGGGAGCAGCCACCGGATCAACAGAAACTGTTGAATTTGCCACAACATTTGAAGTTGTTTTCTTCTTACTAAACTTGTAATTGGGAGGAAACCCAATTAGACAGTAGCATTGGTTCTTCTTGTGACTTTTGATCTTGCAGTAATCGCAAGTACCAGAAAAACGTTTTCTCTCATAGGAAGTAACAGAACTGGAGTACAAAGCCATCGAATCATGTACAGTAGCTATAGAGAGATGAGAACATTGCGATTCCTCTTGAATCATCATAGAATAAGCTTGATTCACCGTAGGCAGGGGTTGCATAAGCAAAATCTGGCTCCTAATCGTTGAGTAAGACTCGTTTAATCCCATCAAGAATTGAAACAATTTTTGTTGAACAAGGTGTTTCATATTCTGTTGGGAAACACCACAATCACAGGCAGTAAAAGG